CTGTTTTAGTTACAAAATTGTTCCTTTATTTAAAAGCTCTATTTTTTTTATTTCATTGTTTAGAAATTTTTTTTAAAAATTTGAACCTTAACTTTTTGAAATTTTGATAAGAACGGAATTTTTTTTTTTTAGAAAATTGGCAGAAAAGACAAAAATGCTAACATTTTACGAATTAAATTAGTGGCATTATATGCATTATTACTTATACAAAAGCTCATACCAAGTTTCACTAAATTATAATAAATCGATATTTCTACGGAGATGTACCTAAAAACCAGGAAAACACATTTTGAGTAATATAAAGAAAAACTGAATATATATATATATATATATATATATAAACTTACTAAAATTTGATATTTAAAACACGCACATTCTATATTTGTATCCATCTTGGATGAACTTTTCTAAAGCACCCTTATTCCTTTTATTCACAAATTCTAACTTTGTCAATTTTTCGAAGGCCTTCACTTAATCCCTGGATTTATTTTTAGTTCTCTTAATACTTTTGTTCTTGCATGTGCACCTTCATTAAATCGTATCACTGCGTCCATTACATTAATTTACAAAAATTTTTGTGGGTAGCCTAGTGGTTAGAGCATCGGACTCCAGACCGGAAGGCCTGGGTTCGATGCTCGATGTCACCAAATACCCTCCGAGTGCACACGGAGTACGTGCTCGTTAAATCAGTGGGTCCGTAGTCTTGTGGGCTTATTGACGAGCGCAGGAACTGGAGAATATTTCCCTCCCCTTCAGTTCACTTGCAGAAATTGTGGAGGTGGAGATAGAGGTCGTGTCGCCATCTATCGTAAAGATCTATCGTCTCTTCGGGAGTTTCTCCGAGCTTAAATCGCGTGGCCGCGGTAGCCGAGTGGTATAGGTATCGGACCGTGGCTTGCTTTGTCACGGGTTCGAGCCCAGTACCACTAAAGACCCGCTGTGTAGGGCAGCGATGCACGTTAAATCTGTCGAGAGCTGAAACGTCCTCCCGTTGGTGTGGTGTGGTAGTTAGGAGAGGGGGTGCCAGCTCAGGTGTCATCCACGTCACTTGACCATGGTTCAAAATTACGTGGTCCGTCGCCAAAAGCCCTCGTGTAGCTGAACAGTGCGACGTTAATATTCAAGCAAAACCGAGCTTAAATCGCACTGTCACCTGTATGGTGCTCAAGGCCAACGACAGGCGTACCTCTTGCCCATGCCACGATGAATTTCGTGGGCCTCGTTCTGACTACGTCAGACAGGTGGCATTAGCCAAAACAACAACAAATTTTTTTGTGTTCACAAATGTGGTTTTTGCAACTTGATTCCATGCACGGTAATTGAAGCTTTCATTTGGGTTCTAGGTACGAGATCATGCAAACATTTTAGTAAAAGTTCTTTTGCAGATAGGTCTCAAAATATATGTTTTAAAAATTATGTATATGCTTGTAATTATGTTTTTAATCTTAAAAAGAACTGGTTCTGGGAAGGAATGTTTGCAGATGCACTTTTCTCTAGATACAAGAGATTTGTTATAACCGATGTAGCTGTTGCTTACATTTTAAAACTGCACTTTCAACGTTATTAAGCTTCAAACCTATACATGTTACACATTTTTGAAATCAGCATTAAATTTACCTTTTTTTTTAAGATAAAAATTGAAAAGGCGATTTTCTGAAGGTTAAGAACGTCGTTGTTCTCTTAATGATATGTATTGTATTTGTGTAACCTAACTTAAATTAATGAATAATTGTTACACCAAAAGAGACTTCTCAGAACCCAAACCCAAATTTACCACATTTATTTAATCTTTAACATCCAATATTCTGCACAAATTTAAAAAAAAAATAAACAGAAACTACTTTACTTATATGTTATAAAAGATATGAATAATCAAAAGAAAATGATAAAAATCACAACCCCCCCCCCCATTTAAATATACGTGAATTTTATTATGTAAACAATTTCGTTACAAAAACGGGAATTAAATAATATTTTTACTTCCCAACAGCCATCTCGATGTTGCCGGAGTTAACGTCAAAGTAGGGATTACAGCCCAGTGATCCAGTCGTTTCTTCAAATCTCGGGATTAAGGTAACTAATCCCGCGATTTAATTTTTGTTTGAATTATATTTTGAATTTTTTTTCTCATCAAAATTTTCTAAGAACTGAATTCTCAGAAAATTTAGAAATTTTTTACATAAAATATGTGCATAGAGAGAGGGAGAGAGAGACTTTTTTTTTGTATTGATAAAAATATATTGAAAATGTGTCATTTAACGGAACAATTTTAAAAACTCTGAGTACTAGACTACTAGAAGCAGTTTAAATTTTTGCGTCTAATAGTTAATTTACAATTAAAATTGACGAGTGAACAAGTGGTTTGGTAAACATAATAGAACAGATAGGGTAGAGACAGTTTATTAACATGATTTTCAAAAATTGGAAAAATAATAAAACAAGTGATTAATAATTTTTATCTAACTTATTTTAATCGTATTTTAGCACAACTATCTGAAAATATTTTATGTTAAAATTTTTTGATCAAAATATTTTTTTATTATAAGCCTCGCACCAATAAACTATTAAAATAAATCGGGTATTTTATATTACATATTTATTTTTTTTTATTTAGAAATCCCCATGGCTTACAAGAAATATTCAGCTAAAAGTTCTGATATTTGGCAATATTTTTTAAAGTGTGAAAATGAACAAACAGCTAAGTGTAAACTGACTGACTTCCAGAAAATGTTGAAAATTGGTCTTGGTTCTACAAAAGGTCTCCATACATAATCATTTTCAGAGCATAAAAGTAAAGCCGTAAGCCATCTATTTCTACCCAAGAAAATTCCTTAAATTTAGTTTCACCAAAGGAAAAGGCAAAAACCCTTACTAATTATTTTTCAGTTTTTAGATGTGAAAAAAAGCACTGTAAGCTACTCTCATAAACTTAACTGCTCTTGACAGTTTTTCATTTTAAATGCTATAAGCTCTTATGATTTGCGTTCAGGTCTAGAAGCTATGGGATTTAAAAATCTACCCAAATCAACTAACACAGTGTGAAAAATTGTTATGGAATATAGCAATAAATTAAGAAACTCGATAATCAGTGAAATTTCTGATAAAAAAATAATTCATGGAAATGTTCTAGGAGAAAAATTTTCTTGGTGAATGTGGACGTCGCTACGAAATCGACTCTATTTTAATATTATTGTACACGGACAATTTTCTAATTTACGGAGCTTAGGTTTGGCATGGACGCATGGCATATTATGAGCCGAAAAATTTATTGAATTATTAGAAGAAAAACTGGCGAAATATAAACTTAATTTTCACACGGACGTTGTAGCCGTTATGGCGGATGAGCAAGCGTGTAAAAAAGTGGGCAGAATATTCTCTGTAGATCAGCAGTTATGTTTTGCAAATGATGGACAGTTAGTGGTTATTGATGTACTTTATAGTAAGTTGGAAATTGAATCAGATCAGCAAAATAATGAAGGAGAAATTTATTTCACTGAGAGAGAGTGAATCGTGCCAGGAAGAAGATATTTTTGACAGAGAAGGATTCCTTGAAAGTAGTCAGAGTCATGGAAGAAATGAGGTAACCGAAACAAAAAGTATTGGTCCAATGATAAATAAAGTACAAAAAATCATATCGATGTTCAAATAATCCCCTACGAAGAATGGTTTATTTCAAAAATATATCCGAACAGAATTTGGCAAGGATATTGTCTTATTAAGATACTGCAAGACCAGGTGGAGCAGTCTTTTGTTAATGTGAGTGTGGAACGCTTCTATTTACTTAAAGATTGCATACAAAAAGCATTTATAGACATAAAAAATATCGATAAATCATTAAATTTATCTCTTAATGATATCCAAATATTATTTTACATAATTACTCTACTCTTGTTCTAGTAAAAACAACTATTAAAGCATTCCATCATCCAGATAGCAATCTGTTTATATCAGACATAGCCATAAATTTTATGCTAAAGAAGCTTAAAGATGCAAGTAAGAAATATGTAACTCTCATTTTTTGTATGGGAGAACGTTGCACAGATCTAAGTGGTTTACTGCAATACTTCTCCAATGGTATAAGCAACGTCTCAGCAGTTCTTTCTTCAATTAATGACCATAAATTACTAGTGGACTTCCTTGAAAGACTTCTTGACGCTTCAAATCCCACAACATTACAAATAGATCATGCAACTGGATCTTCTATTTCAAATGAGGTAACGCTTGAAATTGATTCACATTCTGCTTCAATAACTGAATCAATTTGCACACAAAAAATATTAAGTAGATAAAGTCATAAAGAGGGATATGCACCAATGCAGCTTATTAGATTTGAGACACTATCATCAAAAATTCAAAAAGAAATGTCTCTTTTTGAAAATGGAGGGAAATGTGGTGACTATACCTGTAAAGAACATACTACTATTTAGTGACAGTAAAGTTTACTAGTGTCAAGTCAGAAAAAGCATTTTCTTCGGCAGGACAATTTGTTACAAAAACAAGAAGCCGTTCGAAAGATAAACGCTGGACGTGCTTTGCTTTTTAAAAGCTTATTTACAGAAATACAAGAAATGAAGAAATGTTTGTTTTTTATTTTCATAATGTACTTTCTTTTATGATTAATTAAGTTTAGTTTTGATTTGTTTCAATAAAGAATAACATTAAACCAAATTTTTAATTATTTTTTCAGTTTTATTATGTGTTGTTGCCACTTAGGCCACCTGATTGACAGTAACATCAGATTAAGGTCCACGAAATGAATCGCGGCTAAGGACTAGATTTTTACGCCTGTCGTTAGCCTTAGCATTGAGCACCATGCACGGGCCAGTACTATTTTGCTCGGTTCTACCCCAATTTTGTGGGAGAACACCCCTGGAACGGTCAGGGGCCTCCCACCTCTCTTCTCCTTCCACCAACCTCATGAGAGGACTAGTGGCTCAACGGCTATTTATATATATAGATACCCATATGTAGCAAAGACACTATACATTTACAAAGATCCATGCCTTCCCCGGCAATCGAACCCAGGTTCTACGGCACTGTAGACAGCGACACTAACCACTATACTGGAAGGCAATTTCCGCTATGGTAAAGTGTAAGTAGTTTTCATAAATTGTCCAATCCCGGGATGTTGCTGTAGCTTGTGTTTAAGTAACATCCAGAGATTAAGACAATACAGATTTTTACACTACAGAAATATTTACAGTTAATTTACTCTTAATTTTAAATAGTAATGCGGGTATAAATGAAAATCATACCGTAGAAGGTGCTGCGAATATTTAGAACTTAAGAGTCTAAATTGTGGTATTCTTTTTATATATATGAAGACAAAGACCTTGGATCCGTCCAATGCGTTTTACTGTTTATAGTCGAAATGCTCCGATGCAGGGGTGTAAAGTTGTAGTTGGGGCAGGAAGTGTGGGAAAATATGGCGTGTTCAGTCACAGTTCAGTTTGGTGTGAGGAAACATACTCCCCCCTACCCCTATATCCGAACTATGTAGTTCAGATATATAGGAAATTTGCAGTCTATGAACTGAGCGTTTGTAAATCGAGTCTTGGGTTTTTACAGTTGCAACTCGAACCAGTATATCATTGTCTGGATGCGTCTGAAGAACTCGAGCCATTGGCCATGTACTACCAGGATGACGCTCCTCTTTGGGGTCAAAACGAAGTCATCTTCCTTCAAATTTGAATGTGTGTCCTGCCATTTCTTTAAAGGTTGTAAGGAAGAGAAAAGCTCGAAGCTCCACTTCTTTCAAAAGGCACATTTGATATTCTGTAACAACTCCCAACTATTTCTGTGGTTGGAGGTTGAAGGAAGCTCTTCGGGAACTGAGATAAGGACATCACCTATAAGGAAATATGAATGTGTTAGTGTAGATATGCATTAACGCATGAGAAGGATCTGGAATTTAGTAAGGCTTCTATTTATGTGAGCAAGGTTGTTAACTCTTCAAAAGTAAATATAGTTTCTCTCAAAACTCTCTTGAGATGAAATTCGATGGATCGAATTCCTGATTCCCAAATACCACTAAAATGTGATGGTGATGGTGGAATAAAGAGCCAATCGATGTAAGATTTGATTAAGTAGTAAGATATGGCTTCATTAGTTGGTAAAGAAAGCAATGGCTTTCATATTTCGTCAAATTTTCGACGTGTTGTAATAAAATTGGAACCATTGTCACTATAAATGTGATAGGATGCCCCGTAACAAGCCCTAAGACGACGAAGTGCATCTACACAGGAGTCAGTTGTTAAGTTTCCGACTGCTTCATTATGAACAGCCTAAGTTGCTAAGCAGATAAATAAAGCAATGTAACCCTTTTTCGAATTAGTCCATCGACCTTTGTTGCATTTAATACAGAACAGGACCAGCATAATCAATACCATTGATTTCATTAAATGTCTTTTGAAATTTATCCAATCCTCTGTTAATTGTTGTGGAATGGAGAATCCCAATCGATTTTTGTAAGTCAAAGTTTTTGATAAAAGATCTTAAAGAACACTGTGCTGGATAAAAGAAGTCCTAAAAGATAGAAAAATTTTTAAAGATTCGGATAAGCTGCGTCCCTTTGTGTGGGGTGGTGAAATTCAAGTGACGATTGGAAATCAAAAGTATCATTGAATGGATTCCAAAATAAATGTAATAATTTCGAGCTTTCATTAGAATCTTGTGAGAATTCAACAAGCGTTTAGTGAGGGCTATGTTCTTGAAAATGAAAAACTCGGTGTAAATGCAATTCCATTTTCTTAAATGAAATCCGCTAGTACTTAAAATTTTGAACGATACCCTTACAAATGGAGATTCCGATATTTGGCGTATCTGACCCTGATAGCAAATCCTCCGTATAAATATCTCCCTATATATTCGAGAGAGGTTGATATTGTCTTTATTATCGAGGGCTGTCTGCTTAATGCATCTACACTCATATCCATATATTAAGGATAATGAAGTTCAGGCAAAGAAAGAGACAGAAGCAAAACAAATTTGACTTATTTGTAAAGTCTATTTATTAAACAAAAGGTAAAGACCAAAAAAGGTGCTATATGTTTTACATAATTAATAAAAATTGCGATTTTTACTCCCTGGAGCAAATTTTAAAAAAGAACCTATTTACAAAAAACAGTATAACATAGTTAGTTTGATGGTTAATACGGAGTATGTCTCCCGGACGATGCAATACAGGCCTTACAACGCCTAGGCATGCTGAGTATCAAATTATCAATCTGATCTTGGGGAATATTACACCACTCATCAAGCAATGCCCTCCGAAGTTCTGGTAGACAGGTGGGAGGTGGTTGACGGGCTGCAATTCGTCGGCCAAGCATATCCCACACATGCTCTATTGGATTCAAGTCCGGTGAGTATGCTGGCCAATCCATACGGGTGATATCCTCCGATTGAAGGCATTCGTCTACAATGTTTGCATGGTGAGGACGGGCGTTGTCATCCATAAACAGAAATTCAGGCGCCCCGAAACAAACGTACATGTTGTCCCAGAATGACATCCCGATAGATGTGGCCTGTCATCGTTACACTCTGAACGTGCAGGTCAGTTCTGGAACCAAGAATATGTCCTCCCCAAACGAGCCATCCTGCACCACCGTAACGGTGTCGTTCAATGGTGTTCTCTTGGTGGTAACGGGTACCTGGCGCTCTCCATATTAAAGTCCGGCGAGAATCAGACTGCAAACTAAACCTGGAATCGTCGGAAAACATCACACAAGACCACTGTTGTGGTGTCCACAATGCATGCTCTCTACTCCAGGTTAATCGCAGGCGACAGTGAGTTGCGGTAAGTGGAACACATCTGACAGGCCTAAGAGCATATAGACCAATGTGCCCTAAGCGTCTGTACATGGTCTGCCTTGAAACTGTCGTACCGGTAGCTAGAGAGAGCTGACGAGACAGGTGTGATGCTGTGCTCCGTCTGTTTCATTCGGCGTTGTAACTCAGGGGCGACCTGTGCTGTAACATCTACTCACATTATCATCATCTTGGAATCGTTGTCAAAGCCTGGAGATGACACTCTGGGCGATTCCAAGTTCATCGTTTACTTCCAGCTGGGTACGTTGACATATCAGTCGTCCAACAATTCTACCACGTAAAAAATCATCCAAATGCTTCCTTTGTGCCATAACTACGCGGTTATTGCACCGAAAGGCCTTTAAAGCGCTTGTGAACAATTTTACTTCTTTGCCATCATTCCTTATATACCCCTCTCTTACACTCTCGTCATTGTGACGTACTATCCGTGCCATCTGGTGGTTTCCTGTAAGTTGCATATTCTTCTTCAAGATGTGTGTGATAGTTCTACAGGTGAAATTTTTATTTTAGAGTTCAATTTCTGTGTGATTCTGAATTATCCTTAATTTATGGACATGAGTGTAGTAGCTAAAAAGGAAGCTGACGCTAAACCGTATGTGACAATTTTTAGCTTGTATGTAAGGATGTCTTTACTAGAATTATTTCTCCAATGAATTAGTTGGTATTTCTGTTGGGTTGAAAAGAGTGAATTAATTTTTCTGGCGGAAGGATAGCTGTGTAATTCACCCACGCGCTTTTTCCTGCTTCACTCCCACACATTCCATCCACGGGGACCTCACTCTGATCAGTTGCTGTGTGCAGTGGTCAGACATTTTGCTGTGTGCCATTTTCGTAATCGTTTGCTTAATAAATGTGCTGTCCATAAAGCTGTGAGGAAATCATTTCACAAAAATAACAACAATTCCTGATCGTCATCAGCTAATAAAATTTGACGGTACATTTTTACGATGTCTGCCGTAAATACATTTTTAAGAAATCTAAAGCTAAGCAAAATTTCAAAAATATCCAGTTGTAATTTTGTACCTACTCCTAAAACAGAATTTAATGACGTATCATTTGTAGTTTTTCAAGATGCGTCAGAGTACTCTTAATTATGTTGCAGTGCTGAATGTCTTGATAACTGCGTGAGATGCGGTTGAAAATTCTGATATTTATTGAAAGTATGGAAATCGGAATTTGCTAAACTCATGTGACCGCGCAATTCATATTCATTCATGAATTCTCTGTATGGTTTTTTTCATACTCAAGGCTATTTTTGAATTTCCGTTCCAGTAAGCGAGTTATGCTGCAGATTTCGAGTCTCCTAAAATTCTGAATTTGATTCATAAAATGGGAGCTTTACAACAAAGCGTTCATCTGAATCACATATATAAGTATTTTTAAATGTGTTTCCACCAATTGCTTTTCAGTTAAGGTATCCGACTACGTTCGGAACCGTGATTTTGCAAAAGCGTATAAATGGATAATATTTATGATACTTAGTGTTACTCGTATTAGAAAAGGTACATAAAATTGTTTCAAGAATATTATTACAATAAAAAATTATTTAAGTACAATATTTTGACAAAAAATTAGCATAGAATGACCAATTTTTAAAATATTCTCCTTTTGTGAACAATGCTTCTATTATAATAATATTTTGACTATATATAGCTCAGACCTCTGTACAGAGGCTCAACCAGAATTTTTGAAATATATAACTTAGAAGTGGGTTTATCCCTGTTTTACGACAACATAGGGGAGAAATTTTAAGAAAAAACGCCGATAATTATTTCAATTGCTTGTAACTCTGAAAATAATGTGAATTTTTCCAAAAAAAAATAGTTCAGACTCTCTGAAGAAATCTTTAATTTATATAAGCGAAATATTATTATTTTAGAAGCATTTTTTATAAAAGGAGAACAGTTTGGAAAAAAGTTATTCTAAGTTAATTTTGCCAAAATATTGTATTTAAATAATTTTTTGCCAAAATATTGTATTTAAATAATTTTTTGTCAAAATGTTCTTAAAACAATTTTATACATGTATTCTAATCTAAGTGACACTAAATATCATGAAAATTATCCATTTATGTGCTTTTTTAAAATCACGGTTCCGAACGTATTTTATCCTTTATAAGTTAGGGATTTCTTCTAATTTCCAAAATTGTTATAACTGGGTGTCCACATTTGTAACCTTAACAGGAAAACTTAACATTGAATTTGAATTTAAAGATTCAGTTAATTTGCCTGAAACCATGTGACGG